GTGTTTCTGGTTATCATAATTGGCCGTTGCAGGCGGCTTTGGGTCGCGGCGTTTTGTGAAGCGAAGTTGGGTACTTTCCTCACTCAACACAGTCTAGTTTCTGCTTCCTTGCGAGCATATGGGGTTCGCAGTAGTTTGGTCGAACTTGGATTGGTCATTTTCTTTATCTTTTGTATAAGTACGTACATTTTCTTCCGAGGGAGTATCGCTGGGTCAGGGGAACATTGAATAGACCGTATTGAATCTTGTGACACATTCTTTCTCATATGAAGTAATTGGAGTAGACGAAAGTGACAAGCAATGATTGTCACGATGCGAGACGCTAGTTGGGCGATGGTAACGTGTCAAGGTGTTCGCAGCTGCCAGGTGGACCCTGATCCCGAGGTTGCGTTCGATGCCGTCATCAACGCTTGAGCTAAGCTCCGATGTCTCTTCATCACACCACGCACCAATCTCCACGACCACACACCATCACGACCCAATTCCACACATACCAACATGGTGCTCCAGGACGTCGACAATACAGCCCCGGAAGGCTTCACAGATAACCCATACCCCTCCTCGAACGATCCATATGCTTCCGCGTCGCCGCCCTATGATGGCACTCGCTTCGACGCGAGCGTCCTGCCCCAGCCATTGCCGATCATAGGCACCTTCATGGGCTTCTCCGACCGCGCCGTCCGCTTCAAGACCGAAACTACCCTCAAATTTGCCGAGCGCAAAGTCGGTCGTCAATTGAACCCCGAAGAAGCGCAGGCGCTCGCATACCACATATACCAGCTTGAGCAAACAAAGAGCTATTTCGCCGCCACCGGTGCAGCTGCAGGAACATACCAATGGTACAGGACTATGGATAAGATGAAGTATCCCTTCTATCAGCCAAAGGTGGAGGACATTGACCGGAACAAGTTTGGTCCGATCAAGGGCAACATGGCGATGTTTGCACGACACACATGGCGATTCAGTTTGTACGTTTTGGTGGCAGGACAGATGGGCAACATCATCGGTCAACTCCTCGCGCAACCGCTCGCTGCGGTCAATACCTCGAATGACCCAAAGCTGGAGCAGTTTGGACAGGAGCTGAAGGCTTCATCGCATGCTGAAGGACAAAGGACCGCACAACAAGGACGTGAGATTGAGGATAGGCGACGACAGTTCCAAGAGCAGGTCAGAAACAAGGCAGGAGGTGGCCCGTCACCACAGGCTAGCTGGGGTAAGCAGCCCCAAGGCAATGGCAATGGAGGCGACGACATGAGCCCGACCGCCGGAAACGAATCGTGGGGTACCAGAACCGCGGGATCAGACACATGGGAGACTTTCTCAAACGACACATCACAGCCAGCTCCACAACGCCAGCAAGCACCACCCTCATCCCTTCCCTTCGATGACGACGCTTCCCCCACTGGAGGCCTCTTCCAGGACGAAGTCAACAACCCACAACAATCACAACCCCAATCTCAAGCGCGACCTGGCGAATCGTCATGGGACCGCCTTAGGCGCACCGGAGGAGCGGCAGCAGCGCCACTTCAAAGGCCACAGCAGCAACAATCGCGCAGAGCGGAGCCAGAGCGCAGGGAGCAAAGGGAGGGGTCCACGCTTGGAGATTCGTACACGTTTGTTGCGGGTGATGAGGAGAGGGCTAGGGAGAGACAGCGCGCTCAGCAAGAATTCGATTCAAGATTAGAGCAGGAGCGCCAGGGACGTGATTTCAGTGATGAGGGAGGTAAGAAGTGGTAAAGACAGTGATTGGAAAATCTACCAATGAAGAAAGATTGATTTGTCGTATGCACCTGCGATTCCCCGATTCATCCAAGTCGCGGACCCCTGACTTCGCACAGTGTGGTCACATGCGTGCTTTCACTTCCTCGTCTGCGGAGTGGAAACTCTTAGGCTTCCGTTGCTCGCTCCCATATAATCGCTCACTCACCGCGTTCACTTTTTCGGATCTTACTTAAATAACCTGCTCTCTCACTTCTCAACCTTTGCACAATCACCCAGCAACAAGCCGCCGACAATGAACGACGACGACTACGAAGTGAACGATAACTTTTGGAGTGACTTCTGGCCGAACGATTGCAGCCCCGAGGCCTTACAGCTAGCTTTGACCATGAAGGAGTCTGGCGTCGACATTCGCCCAACACAAAATGGCTTCGAGGTCAACGAGAAAGCAGGCCGCCCACATCCCATCATAGGCGATGCGCCGAAATGCTGTCCCGATTCTAAGCACTGGACCATGGACGACGGTGACTGGGTCTGCGTTGGGTGTGGTGCGGTGTACGCGCAGAACTTTTTTCACCAACCCGCGCAACCATCTCTGGCTCCACTCCTTCCTCCTACTGACCTGGTGGTCAATGGAAATCTCGTTCTGCCGCCATTGTCTTGCTGCCTGAAGCCTGACCCTCGTGAGGAGGATGGAGATGAGCGGACTCTGTGCGACCGCTGTGGCCAGGAATACTTCGATTATAAATATGATGAAGACTTTCAGAAAGCGATCGAAGCTGGCTCGGGATTTGGTACTGGTGGGCCGACGTCTGGTGAGCCGACGTCTGGTGAGTCAGGGCAATCGATGGGTCAGCAAGCGGAGACTTACTGGAGGAACCAAGGTAAGAGGACCCCATTAATTTTCTGGTGAGGACTCATAGCTAACTTGTGCAGCCGATCTATACATGTACAGTCTTCGTGACGCAGCAAATCTGAACCACGCTCCTCTTTCGTCGGGATCGGCTACTGGCTCGAGTGACTTCCAGGCATCCACCGCCTATACACGTCGTCGTCTACGCGCACCGCGTTCTGAAGGCAATATTCGAGCACTGGGAGACGAAGACGACGAGAATCTTGCGGCTTCTCTCCGTGTACCTTCCTTCAACCCAATCCTTCCGCCAGCTCCACCAGTCAATGATCCCACTCCAGGACCATCAAAGCCCAAGGCAAGACCCGCGATAAAACCACCTCCTATCACCTCCAACGTTCCGGTGCGACCCCGTCGGCCTAGATCTCGCGCGCCCACTCACTGCCTCACTTGCATGGCAGAAAAAGGTATCCGCAACATGGACTGCAAACTCTGTCACCAGTGTCACTCCGAACGTCATACCACTGGCAGGTGCAAGATGTTGAAGCCAAAGTTCCACAAGTTCATGGAGCTTTCTGTGGAGCTACGTCAGCGCATCTATGCGCTCGCGCTCGATACAGACCGGCCCATTAGGCCTCATCTGTGCGACTATACCGACGACCAGGTCGTTCAGTTCCACGACGACAATGCAGAGCATCACTTCGCGACCAGCGATCTCCTCGGTATCACCCGTGTCAGCAAACAGGTTCGCGAGGAGTCACTTCCCATGTTCTACTCCACCAACACATTCTCCATCGGTTATGATACATCAACGTATTTCGACCGCCTCGCGTACCTGGGCCGTTTCCACATGGTCCGCCACGTCCGGTTCCAAATCGACAACCGCAAGGAGTCCATGTCGCCCAGCATTCTACGTCGCATGAACCAATACATCAAAGAAGCAGATGTCTACGAGAAGCAGCTGACCGGTCCCGTTGGCCAGCACATCTCGTCGCTGAAAAAGCATCCCCAGTACCTCTACGGCGGCTGCCCCGAACTCAACACCCTCATCACACTGATGAAACTCACCTCCCGCCTCGACAACCAGACCAAACCCCAGTACGAAGGAAAAGGCAAAGGCAAAGCCACCTCCACCACCCCCACCCCACCCTTCCACTCCAAACTCGTCGTCCCCGTCTCCTCCGTACCCAACTTCATCGCCTACACCGCCTACAAATGGTTCCCAACCGTCATGTACGGCCTCGGCATCCAACTGCACTACGTCGACAACACGCCCTTTGCCTTTGTCGACGGCGGCACCGTCGGCATTACGTGGGAGCAGCGGCTGCAGAAGAAGGACTTTGGCGATATCCCTGATTACGTTGATCCGGTTGATAGTAGCGGGCAGACGGCGGCGTATAAGATGGCGCTTAGGCTGGATCCGGGGTTGGAGGGGAGGCAGAGGCCGAAGGCTTGGGCGTATTTGAGGGAGACTTGTACGGGGGGGAATTACGCGTGGTTTGATTTGCCGACGGAGGGGGGTGGGGTTGGGTATTAGATGGGGGATGGAATGAGAGGGTGATTGATTCGGATGATGATGACAGGATAGATAAAATATGAGAGAAATCAATGCCTTAGCATGAAGTCACAGTACTCCATGAAGAGTGTTTCTAGAAAGACAAAGTTGCTTGTGGGGAGCAGTCCCATGTACTAAGACACGTGAGGCTAGAGCACCTGCAGGCTGACTGTAAACAGGCAGGTACGTCCCACTAATCACACCCGACTTCTCACATCACATTTCGCCATTGCCATTTCCCCCTAGTTATTTTATATACACTGATTATGTCACTCTGCACTACTTGTAGCTCCATACCCTTCCGCGCGCTCGTCCGCGGAGATCACCCTCCAGACTGGAAAAAGAGCTCTTGGACCGACGACAATGGCATACCCTGGGGCCACAACAGCGAGACTTGGATATGCGACAGACGCCAAACGAACTTACAACGATTGAGAAAAAGCGCACTCCACTGCATAATATGCAGCATGCTGATGCGAGATATAGAAAAGCGAGCCATCTACGTAGAGCGCTCCCAAGAAGTAGATATGGAGATCGCTCCAGCATGGCTTCATCTATCCGAATCTGAAACGTATGGCACGAAGCTGGATCTCTATCTAGACAAGGGCATAAATGAAGCTACTGCTGTGGAGTTTCGAAATAGATTTGGTATGTTTAGACAGGATCTTATTGCTGGCCCGATGCGAGGACGCTGATGCAGGACAAGACACACCACCTCCGAACCTCTTCAAGCCGGTAAAATTAGAAGACTCGCTTGACCCGACGCCATTGAAGCAATTCAGGGCTTGGTATGACGAGTGCAATACCCGACATGAGAGATGTTCTGCGATTCAGCAAGATTCGCTGTTGCCTACAAGAGTGTTGGATCTCGATGATATGCCCAGTTCCGACGCTATAGCTGAAAACATGAAGCAGTGGCCAGAAATCTTTTCTCAAACCAAATGCAAGCTAGTCGAAACGACCGCTGGTCAGAAAGGAAAGTACGCAACGCTGAGCTATTGTTGGGGAAATGGGCTGCCGTTCATGACTACCACGGAGACGCTTCCAATGCGAAAGAGCAGCATCGGCTTTCAGGATCTTCCTAAGACGCTTCAAGATGCTGCTATGGTAGTACGGTTTCTTGGTCTACGGTACGTATGGATTGACTGCTTGGCAATTGGTATGAACCGACTCCTCTGTATACAGCACATATGCTAATGCTTGTACTCTCGCTCTCAGTACAAGATGACACGGCAGACTGGGAGAAAGAATCGGCTGTCATGGCCGACATCTACTCCAGATCATACATCAACATCGCTGCATCCAACGCTTCACATTGCGGAGCAGGCTTCCTAGGACGACGGAAGATGCCACTGACTGAACGTATCGAGATCCACGATAGCGAAGGTAATCTAGAAGTATATCTCGTCGCCCAACAGACCCGCAACTACGTAGGCTCCACCCCCCGAGACGCCGTCGTCTCCTTGCTAACAAAACCCAGGCACTACCAAGCGACCCCCTCGAAACACGAGCCTGGGTCCTCCAAGAACAACTCCTGCCATCCCGCTCCCTCCATTTCGGCAGCGCCAACATGTTTTGGCGCTGTCCCGACGGCATCTCGCACGAGGAGCGTAGAAAAGGCTGGACGCACCTCTACACCCTCGATGCCGTGGTATCCAGCATACGCCTACCTATCGGAGCTGCCCTTGGCAAAGACGCGTGGTTCCAACTGGTACTTGACTATACCTCCCGCGGTATTACATACCCCAAAGACAAATTCCCGGCCATCTCGGGCGTCATGACTGTCTTACAGCGCATGATTGGCGACATCCCCGCAGCAGGACTCTGGCAGCGTAACTTCCTCAAGTGGCTCCTGTGGGTACCTAGGCATGATTTCGCGCCTTTTAAACGGTCGGATATTTGGACGGCACCGTCTTGGTCGTTCATGTCTGGGGAAGGACCTGTAGATTACGGGTTAGGTGATCTTACTGTAGGTATGAATACCTCGCTGCGAGGCTTCTGTGCGTTTCTTGAAGAATGTAGAGTCGTGCCTAAAGGACTTAATCCGCTTGGTGAGCTGAGAGATGGGTGGGCGAGGATTAGTGGGTCAGTGACCGACGTTACTGCTATTAGCGAAGATGTAGCGGCAGGGAAAAGTCCGTATCGGTTGTGTAGGGTGCAGATGCGCGACCAAAGCTACCATGATGCGCGAGTTCTTTTCGATGATGAGGCGTACGAGGCTTGTGAGGTTCTGATCGTTGCGCCGGCTTTGGGTGTGGCAGTCGTTAGTACGGATAAAGAGCGGGGCGAGTATGTGAGGGTTGGACTGGTGGTAATTAAGAGGGTAAAACTTGAAGTGACGACGGAAGTAAGTACAAAGACCGCCAAAAGGGACAAGGATAAGATCGCTGACATCATGGTAGCAGTCGAAAGAGTGGTACCCAGAAGCGGAGGACTATTCCGAGCCACGGTCGATTGTTCTCCGTTGAGTCATGCCAAATACGAGGCGCGTATGGAGCATGTTGAACATCGGCGTTGAAGCTGAGCCGCCAGTTAGATGAAGGTTGAGCCAATACCCACGACTTTAATCGAGTGTGAGCGAGTCTGACTTGGGGACTCGCGTAGCCTCAGGTTTTCGACCATGGTTCACTACCGCACATATCCATAGTCCAAACGACCAGAAACATGGGCGAATTATTTGAGTAACACAGAGGCAAAGCTGCGCATATATAAAGCCTGCCCTCAAATACTAGAAGCCACATATCGACTTACAACACTTCAACCCCAAAGCAAAGAATCTGCAAATAACCCATCAACACGACATAAGGAAGTTATACCTGACGATGCCTTCCGAGAACAAACAACCAACCAATGAGATGAATGTCCCTCGAGCTCAATTCACGGCTAAGTCATACCACGAACAGCTATATGTGCACCACAAGTGGGCGGCGAATGTCCTAGGTATAATAGGCCACATTATCAGATCTGAGCCTGCTCCGTACCCTCAGCAGAGCTACATACGCCATCGGTCTGGATGCGTATGTACCCTCCCTTCCTCACCCAAGCAAGAAGACAAACGCTCTGAAGGCGAACACGAGACCGCAGAACAATTCGCTCAGAACTGGAATCCAACAAAATTCCCCAAACTGAAAGAATGGACAAACGACGACTTCCGCTCAGCGATCCAGCACTGGACATTTGACCGCAACAAGAAGAACACACCCGAAGCTATCAACGAAGCAGAAGCTGCCCTTTACGATCTCAACAGCGGTTCTTGGGCTGGTACGCAAGACTGGGTCAGAGAACAACACGTTTGCGAGACAGTATATGTATGTCTCTTGAAAGTGTTGAGTCGGTATGGGTATTGGAGGCATTCTATCACTCTTCGGTCTAAGTCTTGGGACGGCCGAAAGATGACGATATATCGCACGCAGGGGGCGGAGGAGCTTCCCACGTGGCTTCAGTGTCATGGGTTTGAGATTGTGGCTGATGAGGATGGGGAGGAAGTGGAGAAGCTAGACGCTATGGTAGGGGAATGGCTTTCAACCTTGGAAGGACAGTAAGTAGATGTCTTGGAACGATGAACACGGTGGAATGATATTAAATGGGATGAGTTATTGTTTTTGTAAGAATTGAAACCCGCCGGTATGTTTCTGCACGGGTGAAGATACAGTTTGATGGTGATTAGGAAAATTAACCCGAGTACAACCCCTCGCTAGGGGTGGCTAGAGTCTTCAATGCACTTACTGCATACACACTATCAAATGTTAATGATCGACTAGCCCCTAAGACAATGTATACGCCTACCCAGATATCATCCCTAATAGTGCATAACTTCTTTGTAATATGCGACAAGAATTGCAACCACCCCTGGTACTCTAACATCTATGATCTAGTACGATCGGCACATTTATAAAATCTAGAAAAGATTCGTTTGCGGTAACTACAGGGCATGTTATTAAGAACGGCCCTAGAGAGACCTTTAAGATCATGACCAGAAGAGACAACAGGATTGACCACGCCACACAACTTTCATGTATGTACCCGGACGATAAGAACAAGATCGCAAAGGAATGTCTGACTGCTCGACTTCGAAAGAGACTGCAGATACGGTAGATACGGTAGCATTGAAGCCCTGGAGTCGGGGTTCCCTGTATCGGATGCCCCGGAAATAGGCTAGGATGCGGGGAAGTCGACGGTCCCTGAGTCGCGTCTCTGCGACAACAACAACCTCGGTGAACCTAGCTTGCCCCAACCCTCTGCGAAAGGAAGCTTTTGCGATGGATCACATTACCTCATCTCGCGCATTGTCTTTGGTACACCCGATTGATTGGGGTTAAAGAGACGGATCGGTCATTGTATCATTGATGAACACCTCTGGAACCGGACGATAAGTAGAAAGTGCTCCTTACTATGGCATGTAAGCATCTACCTCCGTTCTCTCGTGGTATTCTCGGATGTTAACCGTCTTCAAGTACCCATAATCGCCGGAGCATCAGGCACTGCAGCCCTAGCAGCCTACCTCAACGCGAAATATCACATTGCCCACGACCTCAGGCGTAAACGCGGTGCTCTCTCGCCGACACAAGAGGTCCTTGACTTCATCGCCGACCGTGCAGCTCGCAAACGTGCTCTCACGTACCACGCTTTCGAAGACCAGGTGCGCAAACAGCCGAACCATCCGTTTCTCATCTTCGAAGGCAAAACCTGGTCATACAAGGAGTTCTTTGATGCATTCACCAGGGTGGGGAATTGGTTGATAGAGGACCTGGGCATACAAGCTGATGAGGTGGTGGCTGTGGATGGCGGGAATAGCCCAGAGTATATAATGCTCTGGTTTGCGCTGGATGGAATTGGAGCTGTTCCGAGCTTCGTCAACTGGAACCTCACTGGGACAGGATTGGTGCATTGCGCAAAGGCAAGTGTTACTGGAACTGAGCGGGTAGACCCTGGCTGACTTTGAAGTAGCTATGCGGCTGCAGATTCCTCATCGCAGACGCCGATGTCAAGAGCAATGTCGAGCCATGCCGTGCGGATCTTGAGGAGACCGGCATCAAGATCCAGTACTACGATCCCTCTTTCTTCGCGTCGCTACCGAACCCGACTCCTATACCAGACTCGCGTCGCGAACACGTTACTATAGAGTCCCTCCGCTCGCTGCTTTATACTTCCGGAACGACCGGACTGCCCAAAGGTGTGACTTTGAGCACTGGTCGCGAGCTCTTAACTGGCTACAGCGCCGCCAAATACCTCGAACTGAACCCGGCATCCAGAATGTACACATGCATGCCTCTCTATCACGGGGCTGCGCATGGCCTTTGCGTTACACCGATGGTTCATTCTGGCGGTACAGTCGTATTGAGCCGGAGGTTTTCGCACAAGACCTTTTGGCCTGAAGTCGCAGCTTCAGATGCGGATATCATCCAGTACGTCGGCGAGCTTTGCAGATATCTACTCAACGGCCCGACGAATACATTCGAGCGGAAACACAAAGTCAAGATGGCATGGGGCAACGGTATGCGCCCCGACGTATGGGAACCCTTTCGTGAGCGTTTCAACATACCCATCATCAACGAATTATATGCGGCTACCGATGGATTAGGGGCGACATTCAATCGAAACGCTGGTCCCTTCACGGCGGGTAGCATAGGTCTCCGGGGGCTGATCTGGAATTGGCGGTTCGGCGACCAGGAAGTGAGGGTGAAGATGGATGTTGATACGGAAGAGATTATGAGAGATGCAAACGGCTTTGCAATCAGATGCGGAGTGAATGAGCCGGGCCAAGTGCTGCACAGATTAACACCAGACACGGTGGCTACTTCACCAGGCTACTACAAGAACGAAAGTGCCACAGAGAATAGGAGAATTAGGGATGTGTTCGAGAAGGGCGATATGTAAGTCACCCCTCCAAGCTCATTGACCTCAACCTGATGATAGCAGATGGTTTAAGTCTGGAGATATGATGCGACAAGATGCCGACGGCCGCGTCTTCTTCGTCGACCGTCTAGGCGATACGTTCCGTTGGAAGTCAGAGAACGTATCGACGAACGAAGTAGCCGACATGCTCGGAAAATTCCCACAGATCGCTGAAACGAACGCATACGGCGTCCTTGTGCCTGGCTACGACGGCCGAGCGGGCACTGCATCTATCGTTATGGCAGATGGAGTCACAGAGTCAACATTCGACTTCGCAGCTCTGGCAAAGCACGCGAAAGCGGTCTTACCGAGTTATGCAGTGCCGCTGTTTCTAAGAGTAACGCCTGCATTAGAGTATACGGGTACTTTAAAGATTCAGAAGGGTAGGTTGAAGAAGGAAGGTGTGGATCCGGATAAGATCACTGGAGAGGATAAGCTGTATTGGCTGCCGGAGGGTAGTGATCGGTATGTCCCATTCACGAAGAAGGATTGGGAGGCTGTAGTGGAGAAGAGGGTACGATTGTCGTAGTATCTAAATTATAGCTAACCTTACACCAAGTGCATCGTACGTTCTACGAGACACATCTGCTCCTGATCGAGTGCTATATTATAGATTCACCGCTTCCTAGAGCCTGCATTGACGTTAAGTCATCTACTTTGCATGCTTTCATCTTGATGTAGGCTGGAGACCTACTCAACCTCTTCCCCGTACGATGTGCGACGATGCTGGTGACTGATTCAGGCCACCAAGGACATCCAAGTTCTCAAGTACACCCGCCACCATCCCAGTTGGCCATCATCCACGTAAGTGTTGATCACCCACTCCATCTCCTCGATCCACTTTTGAACGACAAAAGACCCCACCGGGCATCAATCATCGTCGCCCTCTCGACATGCATCACCCGCACTCTACATTCACTCCATGCCTGCACCATGGGGCTCATTACGCTGATCTCAAAAACACCTTCAGGGCTGTACGCTACGGCCAAGGCGCAGCTAGCCCCATTGTGGCTGCATAGACGCTGGGGCGTAAGGGTCCACAAACCATGACCTTTCCGCCCATGACATTCGTCATGTTCTACGTTGCGGGTGATACACGTGCAAAGGAATGCTGGTTAATGTGTTGGTTAAAAGGGTAGGCGATCGAGCCAATCAAGCGACACGGGGTTTGACTCTGCGTGCATTGTTGTGTGTCCCGAGAAGAGGGTTGAGTCCGGAGATTTGGTCTGTGGTCTGAGATGCGGCGGTTGGCACGCTTCATTATATCAGATAGAACGGATGATTTGGGGAATTGATTAGGTGTATGCTTGGACTGTAAAGATGGCTTCTTGTGCTGTTGAGGTGGAAAGTGAGTTTGGTTGGGGAATGGGGCTACGTAGAGGGGTCCTCCTGGTGCTGATTGTGTTCTACGTGTCTCTGAGACCTAAATGCGCCACCTGTTGTAGTTCCTGGGATGCCTTGACATACACAAGCATTGATGTATAGCCTTTGGCTGTCCAGCTTGATAGCCAACACGAAAGAAGCAAGTGGGCAGCCAGGAATTACCTTGGCCTACATGATGAATTTCCTGTCAGAGAAGCGATAGAAGTATTAGACTGTCGGTAGATTTACCGGAGCGGAAATCTAGGTTGTAACCTTCGATAGTTTGCTGTCAAACTGTGAGGCGACGTTGGGCGTTGGGTAGCTCTGGCGTATTGAATCCTACGAGTCGCACTCGACCAACGCATTGTAATTACTCTTCAAACTATACTTTGGAACAAGCAGACCATGCGCTTCATCCACGAACAACGTTAGATGAAGTGAAGCATGATTCAGCAAGACGCCATCGTGATCAGTCGTCCCAGGGTAAACGAAGGGGACAACTGAAGCGAGCCGACAAGCGAAAACGTCAACCCGGATTCGATCAAACCTTCAATCGCCGTTAAAGCGCGCCATTCCCCTTTGACCCAAAACAACAATGCGATGCTTTACCCCAACTCACCTCCAACAGAACTATAATACACACAGATCTTCACGCGACAACCGCATACAGACGGTGTAGTCAAGCTAGCACCCAACTTCCCTAACCGCCACGCACCTGCCAATTTACCAACAGTAAGGAAAAGTCTCCGAATCCAGCCAAAAACACCACAAATCTCCCCCAGAAACTCTCCAGTTGGTCGGTTCGCTTGCTCCCCACCCCCTTTCGCAGCCCAGCCCCCACACGAAGGGGGACGCGCGCAATACCTGTATCGATCGCCATGCTCGAGTCCCTCATTTTTCAGCCCTACAATCGCCCGCTGTCATCGAAACCAAATCTGAGGTTGAATCGTAATCATCGTTAAATTCAGCCCAACGGTTCTATTCCCATCTTAGATGGGGCAGACCAGAAACTTAGTAAACAGGTGGCATGCACTGGGCGTGTGATCGACCTAGCCGCCCACCAGCGCTCGGTACTCAACCTGTTACGCGTCCGGTGTGGAAAAAAGGGAAAAGGACCAACAATCATCTGCCGGACTTTCTGAACGGTGTGCGCAGGACTACGTTGGCAGTTGGTGCTTGGTGGTGGTTTAATCGGTGCGAGAACTGTGTATTCGGGGCGAATGTCGCGATGCATGGGTGACCGTGGCTAGGATCTGGTTCTGTCCTGTTGGTTTGCTAGATGTCCTGGTCTGGCTCGGCTCTCCCTCACCTCAAAAGTCCCTGACTCGACTCACCAACGTGATCGTGGAAGTGATGCGCACGCAAACCTGTCGAATGGAAAATGCCGGACAGCTGCAGGGCTCAACGGCACATGGATTTTCGCCTTTCATCGGGCTGGGCGCATCGTTGGTACGGATACACCTCATTTACCAGAAAACGGGAATACTGGTGACACGGATTTCTTTGTTCCGCCTTCGCAATCCTGTACGGATTAGTACACGAAGGCGGGATACGGGTTTTTACATTGGGCCGACTCACGAATATATCGTCGTCAGGTTTCTTGTGCTATAGGGGGTTCGCGGAAGCTGGGGCAGGGGGTTTGGCCGCGTGCGCTCTTTGTCAATCTGAAGGTCTGGACAAGGATGGCATCGTGGGCACGGGTTTCCGAAGCTTCCGCCGCCGCACCGGACGGGCGAGGAGAGGGCGCTCATGACGCGATGCGACGCGTCGTCTTTCTGCTTTCGAGATTGACGGTGTAGCAGCATGAGGATGAATGCGACGAAGACGGTGTGGAATACATGTCAGACGCCTACTTCTTACACCCCGCGTGGAGGGTAAATTCTCCTTCAGCCCTACAGCGCGCGAACGGTTGTCAGATCAGTAAGCCCTTGCGCGAGCAACCGCCGGTGGAGTTGACCCTGGAGAATTGGGTGCTGACATATACAACGTGGGAAATCCGGGGTATCAGATACAACTGTCCACCAGGGCAGTAACGTGAGCAAGATATGACGTGATTTGATTTGATTGCAAATGCTCTCCATGCATGGCCCCTTCACAGGAAGGATCATGCTCCTGGAACCCTATACTTCCGCTGCAAATACAGTGTGACGGAGGAATCGTCTCGTGCTCGGATGTAAAAGGCCGTCTCAACCCGTCCTCCGGGCAGCAGCGAAGTGCGAGAGGTGTCACAAATCGCCGAGACCCTCTGCTTCGGGCTCGCACGGGAATTTTGAAACTTTACCCCTTTAGGGAAGCGTTGCGGTCAATCCTTCTTCTCTGCATTATCCTGAAAGCGTTTAGGCGGCTTCGTACTCGCCTCTTTGCCGCTAATGGAACGTTATTCGTTGGTTCGTTTACATGTGAAATCCGCTGGGCAAACTAGTGTGTGAATTGAACGCAAGGCTGAATCGACAGGTACTAGATGGGGCTGTCTTGTCGATGGTCCTTGGAATTCTTCGGCATCGGGGTCTGTGTCAACGCTACGGAGCGTTGTACGATATTCGATTCGCAAATCAAACTTAATCGCTCGAATCCAAGATCAACGGCGGTGGAGTTAGAAGGGCGTTATTACCGACAGAACGACCGTTGGGGACCGCCCAAAGGATGGACAAAGTGCTTAGCGGCTTGCGATAGTTACCGGCGCTAAAACATCCTGCCCAGGTGTCAAAGCTCTAGTATTAGACAGTTTCTGCGGAACAGTCACGTCAAGCGAGCCATGCGCTTGCTGACAAAGGTCGAGGGAGGCATACTTTTCGTAACGATCCTCGTGGGCGGTGCACGAACCCGAGTATGGCATGCGAGACAGTGCGACGCCTGCCCTGTACGCGACTAAGTGGCGCGGACGTTTCAACGGCCAACCTGAACGTATGTTTTGCGAGCAACGATACGTGTCGCAGAGCGTGACGGGGCGATACAAACTCTGCGCTTGTAATTATCGTATGCAAAAAGGCTCAGGCGTAGCTGGTGGCCTTGCCAAATGGCTGCCTGCTGGTATGGGTCCCGGAATAGCATTGCAGACGAGAGCAACAGACGAGACACGGTTGAACCCGTGAAGGATGCTTGTGCCACTGTCCGTTTCACACCAGCCTCTCATGGTGCTTTCCACACAGCCGCGCCGGAGTTGACTCCGTGCCGTGGCATCTCGCGCTCTGCACGTGACGAAAAACCGGTCACCGAGTGCCCGCTTGTTATCGTGGGATTACTAGATCGCATCCGGTATGCCGAGCAGCGAATTGCACTCCGTCGAAGCTGTCGCGAGGCGTCGTGGCGCGGTTTGCGTACCGAGTGATCCGCATGCTTCTTGAACTACTCCCAGATGTGCAGTTGTGTGCAGTTGTAGTGCATGTGGAGACTCTTGTATCATTTCAAATTCGAGATATCCATGATATGTGGAATGCGTCACTGGGCAGAGTCGCGCAGCCCCACTAGAGGCTGAATCCCACGAGGCGCAGGCTTCGCAACATGCTTCCGCATCAGGCAAGTTGCTGTCGCACGTAGGATTGCTTGAGACCTACTTGCGTCACATCTCTCGCCCTGCTGCTCCTCACGCTTGCGAAGTAAACTCGCTGCGTACGAGCAGTCTAGTTGGCTGCGCTCTCAAAGTTATTTCAGTTGGCTCATATTGATATGGTTACGCCGCAGACGCGTAGGTAGGGTTGCATCGGCAGGCAGCCTGACCGGTAGCTGAAAAATTGGCTTGATTGAAGGACTGCTAATGGAGGATGGAATATCAATTCATGGAAGGGCGAGTCTGTTTATGGCTCAAGCGGGTGACGAGCACCGGATGATCCAATGGTTCGGGGCTGTATGATCCCGTCTGGGGGACCGCGGGGTAGATGGTGGGATGATGATTATTCAGAGATCGGCGAGGTTCTAGTGTCCGACGGCGTAGGCGTACTCGCTGACTTGCTAGAAGCAGTAGTTGATGCAAGGAAACAGAATGGAAACTATCCTTGTGTGTGTTTACGCTTTTCGAATACCCGCATTCTTTGCAGTCACCCTGCATGTCGTGAATAACAGGTTGTTGCGCAGAAGATCGACGGTGCAGGGTTGTACGGCTGCGCGCCCTTTGACACTCAAATCAATATCGCGATGCTTCAACGGACGAAGGCGGAGGTCAAAAGACTG